TTATTTATATAATTCTCCCTCTCTCCCTCCCTCCCTTCCCGCCTTACCTCTCTCCCTCCTTCCACCATTATTTTTACTGTCTCTTTGCAAGTCTCTTGTTCCTCCAATTCTCTATATTATTGATAACTGCAATATGTTTCTTAACAACAAAAGGAAAAGTGATTCCCTCATCAATTTCCCACCAAACAACACACAGCCCAGCATGCACTTGCCGTTCCTGTACACAAGTTTTTTTTTTTCACTGTTGTCTGTTGTGTATATATGAAGCTTGGGTTCTTCATCAAGTCCTACGGAGGTTCTCTTCTCCTTACAGGTCTTGAAAACTTCACGTAAACCCTATGATCTGGTCACACCAAGTTTTGCCCATTTCCTAAACACATCACATCTTTGATCATTACGAGAGTTGCAATGTTCCTCTGCCTAGACTACCTTTCCTAACCTGTCTGAGAAAATGTCTTCTGGAGAGCAGGGTGGTGGTCATTGCTAGACGGTTGCCAGAGGACGAAATGAAGAGACCCGTTTTCCACAGGATCCAGACCATATGGACTTTTGGTGAATGTCTGAGATTGTTACCCCTCTCAGCAGCAACACCTCTGATCTTTCTGAAAATGACTTAATGAAACATTATTTCCTTTCTTAAATCTCCCTTCGCAGCTCTCCCTGAAGTATTGGCCATTCCTCCTCTCTGCTCCTAATGCCTGGTTTTACTATCATACTGTGCCAACTCTAAGACTGACGGGGATTTCACATTAAGCATTTCTCATCTTGAGGTATATCTTATGATCTGCCTATCAAGGTTTGGTTAGCGGCAGTCCTTCCCTTAGAAGCACAGGTAATAGAGCTGCTGTTTAGGAGAATGTGAAATCAGATAAATGGTATACTTAAATTGCATGCAATTTGCCATAAAATGTGATCATGCAAGGTCAATAAATGCATGTTTGTGGTAGGCAGAGAATTTTGTTTTCTATTAATCAGAGAAACAGCTTTAAAAAAAAAAAAAAAAACCTTAAGAAAAAAAAAAAAAAGTAGCTGGTAGCTGTCAGCTGTGGTGTAGACCTTTAATCCTAGCATTCAGGAGGCAGGTAGATCTTGAGTTCCGGGCCAGCCAGATCTGTTCCACAGAAAAACCCTGACTCTAAAAACCAAACCAAACCAAACAAAACAAAACTAGTACTGTTTTCTCCTGTGTTCCCATCAAGACATACTGCCCAAACACATGGACAATGGAGCCAAGTGAAACTGAAACCAAATAAATATTTTTCTTTCTTAAAAAGAAAATACTCTTTAGTGTCCCAAGAGTAATCAAGGGATATTCCATTTGTTTGTCCAGCAAGTGGGTGAAGCTCCAGCTTCTAAATCATATTTTAGGCTAACACTCTGCATCATGTAGTTCTGTTATATTCTGTTGAACTACAAAATCATGGCCTCATGTGGTACTGTGCCACACCATCACCCGAGCAGCCAGACATAGAGCCAATGCGGGTACAGGATGAGTCTGTGAAACTCTATACTGTGACAATGATGCTGAGAAGGCAGGGTAGTAACAGGAAGGGTACAGGAAGAGATGAAGAAAGATGGGGGCCACAGATCTAGAGTAGTGCCTTCCAACAGCAACAGATTTAAGTTGTCTGATAGTTAACATTTAAAACATAGAGTAAGAATATTAATACTAAGGCTACATTTTACTTATGTTACCTAATGGAATGAAGATACAATCACTTTACAATGTAATCAATATTAAGGAAACATAAAGAATGGGTTTTTTCATGGTTTTCATTGTTCTGGGACTGGACATAGCCATACTGGAGTTGCCCAACAGCAACATGTGGCCAATGTCTGCTGTGTTATACAGTGCAAGTCCAAGCTGTTTCTATAAACTCAGCTAAATAATAAGGTAATAACAATGTGCTACTTCCACAGTGGGCTTTCCACCCCATCACGATGGGAACATTTACAATTCTCACAATATTCTTAAGTTTGAAGAAATAGAGTATAATATTGCCTTCAAATTCTTTTTGTGTCTTGTTTTGGATAATTAAAAAAAAACATTATTTGAGACCATTCCTGGTGGCCTTTTCACCTTCCCTTCACTCTAATGGCTAAAGGAGGGCTGGGTATAGCCCATCTTGGTCTAATCAGAAAGTCCTTAGCATAGGTTCTAAGAATATAAATCATTTCAGAATTATCGGTATCTTATATATGGCAGTTCTGACTACATATCTTTGAATATACATTAAAAAGTAAACTAAAGTTGACAAGAGCACTTTTTAATTTGAAATCCACAATGGCACTACCTGGAGAGTGAGAAATATTCTGTTGCCTGACCCCACCCTCAAGCTCCCACTGCCAGAGAAGTTGGTGGTGGATCTAGAGTTGGATTTGGGTATTGAGGCTTAGAAAAATGGGTCACCTCTTGTGAAGTTGTTAGCCAATGAAATTCTATAGACCCACAAGAATTGCAAGCTACTGCAAACATTCTTAGTTAACCCCCCCCCCCCCCAGAATTTGATGGTAAGATCCTGTTTCTGCAGGTACCATATACCTGTGTCAAAGAACATGAAGAAACCAACCTGGTAGTTTCCTGGAAGCTTTATCCATACTGGTTAACTTTCATAGTGTAGGTTGGTGCCATCCACAATACTGGAGGAGAATACTAATCATCAATTTCACCTCACTATGAACCTTGCAAGCTACAACAACCACTGGCCTGGAAAGTTATAGGTACAATAATAGCACAAATGTTATGGGAGTAACCAACCACTTTCTGATTGTATCTAAGGCCTGCTCCATGAAATATAAACTATACATGGCATTGTTAATGGGGCCAAGAGCTTGTGGCTAGATAGGCTCTAAGAGACAACCCAATACTATTATTCCCTAAATAAAAATAATATTAAAATGATTCCTAGTTACTTATTGGTATCCATAGATCACAGAGTCTCTTAAACAGCATCAGAGAAGCTTCTTCTAGTAGATGGTGATTAACACAGGAATAAGGGACTGTCCCTAAAGGAAATGCTCATATTGCACCACTACCCCCAAGACTTGGGGATATTTAAGATAGAGAGGATAGAAATACATTAAGAGCCAGAAGTAATAGATAACTTTAAAGAAAGTGTTTTCCATGTACAATAGGTTCGCTGGACATATAAACTCATATAGATTGTGACAGCATGCTTATCAGTTGTGCAAGCTCAAGCAAGACAAAATCCCAGCATGGGGTTTGGGTGGGCATAAAATCCCATTGGTACTGAGAAGCTGTTGGCATTTGATAGCTACTAGGAAAGGAGGAGTCAGCTTTCTTTAATGGTGTGACCTAATGGTAGGCTCCACTCCCAAGTACAGTTAGCCAATACAAACTGGATCGGGTAGATCTTTTAAAAAAGGAAGAAAATACAAAATTGAATAGCTGGGAAAGTGAGGATGGTGAGGATCAGGGTGGAGTTGGGGGGGGGGGGTCCATACAATCAAAATACTCAAACTTTTGAAATTCTCAAGCATTACTTTAGGTCTTGATTCTTTGAGCTGAGAAAGGTAGTAAATTACCAAAGTATGAAAGGTTTTCAAAGGTTATTTATCATATTGATCTCTTTTCATCAAAATAATAGAATTCTCAATGTATCAAGATATTGGATCTTCTAAAGAAAGTCTTTTAGGCCATTGAGATATGCAGGCAGGAAAAAACTCCAATATATACATGTTAGAATTTTCCAAATATAGAATAGTAAACTTTTAAAACTTATAGAACCTAAGCCATACGTACTTCATTTCAAGTTCACTTTAAATGTATGAAAAGAAGCAGCCTTATGAATTAAGGGTAGTGAATAGAAGTATCTTCTGGATATGGAAGCACCTATATGCTATATATGTACAGTACAACTCATTTGCCTGGATGATTCACATAAAAAGCATACCTAGTAAACATGCACACAGAACAAAACGTTTGAGTCATTGTTTGCACTCAAGATGGTATTGACCCTGATTCATTATTCCCATCAAACATGAGGTTCAGCAAGACCAACCCAGACTTCTGCTTTCACAAAAACAAGGCTTTGCCACAGAGGAAAGAGCAGTGATCTCTGCACAGAGGGAGCAGCTGGGATGGAGTTCCTGTGACTCATGGACTGAGAATTTCTCTGCTAATTTCCAAGGTGGTTTTGGCCATACTTTGTCAATTGAACCAACTTAGCAGCCTTTTGTTGATGGTGTGGTATCATGTGGCCTTATTCAGTAATAGAAACATTATGTTGAAATTTCCCCAACAGTTCCCGCATGCATTTCCCCTGGCTTTCTAGTAAAGAAGAAAGCTCCCTCCCAAAACTCCACACTTACTTTTCTTTCATATCTTAAACTGAAGTCCGGAAATTAAAATAGGAAATGCGTAAAAGCATTGTATTTTAACGTTCACTAACCCTGATCAATCAAAGCTTCCCAGTGCTACCAAAAATATGGAGGAAGGTACAGAACCTGCAACAGTTTCTAAGTAAGTGTGGGTTCTCCTGGGTATCCCAAAGAGCCAGTGGGTACCAAGCAGTGGGATGATGACATTCACTGGGCCCCAGTTTGTCTCTCTGTAAATGAATGGAAAATACAATACAACTAACAACAACAAATTTCAAATTTCCAAGTCGCCATCCTCATGAAACCAGGAATAGAATCCTCACTGAGCTGTCACAAATCTGAACTGCTGGACTACATAATCCTTGCATGCCCACACTGTGGTTGGGTTAACATACTCAAGAATGCCCGTGCTCCAGAGGATACAGAGACATTTGCCTTTAAAATATTTCAAAAGCAGAAATGCCAATGAATGACTGAAAGTATGAAATGGTCTTAGAAGGTGACACATTGAGGATGGGGCCATCACTGGAAGAGGGGACCATGGACCCAGCAGTGTTGTCTATGGTCCGTCAGGGAGTAAGTGGCAACGTGAGCCTCAGAAAGAGTGCTGTCAAGAAGGGTCCTGAGTACCCCGATGTGCAGCTGAGAAAGCCTCCTACCTTTCTGGAAGAAGTCTTCCAGCTTGTCCTTGAAAGGCTGAAGATACTCCTTTGGGGACTCCTTGCACACCAACTTCATCTGTTGTTCACTTGCTGCAAAGAGAAGTGTAGATTACACTTAATCAAGAATAAGTACTAGTTGAGGTCCTGCGTGGGCACAGCATTATGTTGTCAATTGTACAGATTCCATGTCAATCACAGTTTAACAAAACTCCATGGGGGAAAACAGCACACTCTTTGGGAACAGGGATATGTGCAGCATTCAATTTCCTTTTAGCCATTCACAAAAACACCTACAACTTGTAGCAGGTAAAGTATCCCACTTTTTTTGTTCTTAATGATGGAGTGGAGAAGGTACCTAAGGACTGATCTCAGGGAAGAAAGGTCCCTGGCCCTCTTCAGATTCATAGACAGAAAAGATTTTGCTGAAGTTCCCACAAATTCAAATTGCCCAGAATCATCAAGTTAAAGAATCCTCATGGCCATGAACACTCGAGTCCAGTTCAGGTAGTACTGTTTCTGCCTCTCACTTAAAACAAACAAACAAACAAACAAACAAACAAAAAGTCATTTTCACGATGGAAGTGCTGAGAGCCAGCATAAACCCTGCCACCATGGACAGGACAGAAAACATTGGCATGCACTAGCAAAACTTTAAATCAAACAGGATACAAAATGTAGAAATAAACTGACATGCAGGCTTTGTTGGAAAAACAGACAAATATAAATAGTGGGTGATGGGTAAGAATGAACCCCTCTACCTGATTGCTTGACCAATGAGGAAGAGGATGGAGGGACCTGAATTCAGAGGGATAAATAATATTCTCAGAAAGCAATAGGATGACCTCCTTTATTTTTCTGGGATGGAGTGTTCAAGATCATAAAGTAATCTGCATCACTTTTGACTATTCCGTATCTCCAGCATTTGTTATGGAGTGAGGGTCCTATGCCCTCATACCACTCACATAACACTTTGCTAACACATGAAATAATTTCACTTGATTTGCTTCAGACACAACACCCAGAATTTATAACAAATTATTATTTTGATAACGAGGCTGTTTAGAACCAGAATGTTTGGATTTGGTTACATATAAACTGTAGTAAGAGTTTACTGACTCCAGGAGTAGTTAACTCAGGCAAAAGATGTCTTCCTGTGTTTCCATATGCTTTTGGTCAGAGGCTTCAATGATTGGTAATGGCTGGAAATTACTGATAGGCCCTTGTCCAAGACACAAAATTTGGATTTTCATCATAAGCAAATCATGCTACCTAGTTAAAATAAAATAAACACCTAGCTGTGTGCATACCTGCAGTCCAAGAGATTGAGAGGCAGAGGCAGGTGGAACCTGTGTGTAGGGATAGACTAAGCTATATAGAATGTTCCATTCTGGCCTGGCATCATATGAAACCCTGCCCAAAGGGGTGTGTGTGTGTGTGTGTGTGTGTGTGTGTGTGTGTATAGAAGTACATACTTTATATCTTGGAAGAATCTATAAACAAGAAGGCAAGGGATTTTGAAGGTAAGATATTGGGGAGGAACCTTTATTTACATCAGAGACATTGGACATTCTAAGCAGTCATTTGTTTGTTTTGTTTCAAGCCAAAGTGACTCAGTATCCTCTGCAGCTAGCCACCTGACACTTTTCTGTCTCGGATAGTCTTGCCTTCAACTCTGGCTAAATCTCCCAAGTGCAGGTACCAAGGGAGGTACCACACTTGGCTTGAAACTTTTCATTTGCAGTACTGGCAATCAGGTTTCTAGACTCTTCAACTATGTGGGAGATAAGAAGATGATGTTAGGGGTGGGAGCGTGATTCAAAGCCATCTTGTGTTGTTTAAGTTTATTCTCAGGGTTTCAAGCCTTCACTGTAGGACAGGGTTACTAGATCTCAGGACAGAAATACCCTGATCCAGCCTTATACAGCATTGCTGCTTTCCAAGACTTCTGGCTAGAGCTTAAATAGACTATCTACTTCTATGCCAACAACTGCCCCAGTGCTAGCTGGGAAACCTGTTCATTGTTATGCAGATATTGACTGTTTTTTTTTTTTAATAATTTACCAAGGTAAAAAATAAAAATCCTACCTTGGAGCAAATGGAAAACTATTTCCTTAAAATCAGCCAAACCATTCCAAAATATTTGTTTCTGGGACCAGTGAGATGGTTCAGTGGTACTTGCCACTAAGCCTATTGCCCTAAGTTTGATACCTGGGCAAGAGAGAATCAACTCCTGAAAGTTGTTCTTTGTCCTTTGCATGTGCTCACACACAAACAAACATGCATGTGCTCATAGAACAAATAAATATATAAGATTAAAAACAAGTAAACAAAAGGCACATGTATTAGAATATTTTTGGTCTTCTTTATAAAAAGTACTCCATGTTCGATACTATGGTCAGGTTTCTCTTTCTTGTTTCCCAAGTAGATAAAGAGTTTGGACACTGAAAAAACATCCCTCCTGATATCAACATTCTCTTGCTAAAACAGTGAAAGGGAAGTGTTTTGAGCTTGATGATGTCACAGCACAAAGAGAAAAAAGGAGAGAGGATATAGGGACACATTTTAAAGGCAGACCTGGATTATGGAGTTAGCGTAGTAGGGCTAAAGGGCGAGAGAGCCATAATGGGTACCCCAAGTCCATCTGAAATGGATCAGTATATTCAAAAAATTCATTTGTGTGTGTATTTTTAGTGTATGTGCATGTTCAATGTGTGTGTTTATGTGCATGTGGTCGAGGCCAGAGGTTGACACTAATTATCTTTTCACTCTCCATCTTACTTTTTGAGACAGTGTCTCTTACTGAACCAATGGCATGCCAGCCAGCCAGCCCCATCCTCCACCTCCCCCCCCCCAGGTATCTGTTTCTGTATTTCCGAGTGGTGGGATTATAGCCCAGTACTGCCATGCCTGACTGTTACGGGTGCTAGCGAGCTGAGCTTAGGTCCTTTGTATGTACCTGGTGAGAGCACCTCCCTAGCTCCTGGCTTAGTGAACTTTAATGACCTTAGCACTGCCTATCCCACAAGGTTAACATAAGCAAGGTAGCAAAGATGATCACATTAACTGAGCATTTCTAGAGGCCATGGGCATTGAATGATCTGCTTTGACTCATCATTTGACAATGAACTGTCAGAGAGGCATACTTTTCTCCTGATATGCAATTATGACTCTGTGAATACATGAAGCCACATGGTTTCTCACAGCATAAATCACTAGTTCTTTAAATTCAAACCACCCTCAGTGACAGTCAAGTTCCAGTAACAATTTTTAGAACTATTTATGAGCAAATAATATGTCATGCTATCAATTTAGAAAACATAACTGGAATCATGAGGTTGATTCCTTCAAGGTTATTTCTTCTAAGCAAAGTTGCAGGTAGACCTTGTGTCCATAGTTGCCAAAGCATGGCTTCTACTTTTCCTGAATTGAAAAGACTGGTTATTACAGCTCTTCTTTTGTCCTGGAAGCAGTGACAGATGGGATGCCCATAAAACTGTTCAAACTTTATGAGCCATGTCTCAGAGCTGGAAAAACTATGTGCTTGGACCAAGTCTTCCCTGGGCTCAGGTGGACTGTGTCTTTTTATCTTATCAGAAAGTGATGCCATCTTTCTTTCTGTATGACAGGAGATAAGGCAAAAAGAAAAAAATAATTTGTAGAATATGTAGCATTAGCAAGCAACATTGAAAAATATTGTTGTTATGGTGATCTACCAAACTTGGTCAGGAAACATTTCACAGTGGGAAGATTACAATGTGACGGCTAGGCTCCATTTACAGAGGCATGGCACAGCACAGATAAATCCCCAGTTGAAGTAATGCCTCTCATTACCTTGCTGAGATCCTACCAGCTACTGTGGGAATCCACTAAAGACGTCCCCCCCCCCCAAAAAAAGGGGGAAGCTGGCTTGGGAAATCATTCCCCACATCTAAGAACCTCCTGGTTTTGAAATTAGAAAGTAAAACCAGTACAAATGACAGCAGCCCCATTGGTTTGCTGGGAGGACGTTTCTATACCCCCACAGGCCAGGGCTCCCACGCGACCCGCCAGAATTAAACTTCTCCACAGGATCAAAGGAGAAGGCTGCCCTCCCACTGCCCCGGCACAGTTGCATGTTCCGGTGGCCAGCAGCTTACACACTCCAATTTATTAACTTGGCTTACCCAAGACGCTTTCTAACAGACAAACGGGAGACCCAAGACTAATTAATGATGACACTGGAGACTGGAGGCGCACAAAGAAGAGAGGTCATGGACAAATTCATAAATGCCACTCATTGTCCAACCAGAAGACTACTACACAGTCTTGCCAGACCACCAAAGTTGTCTTCAACACAGTCTGTGCCAGGACCTCCAACATTAAAACCAACCAAGTCTGTCGTCTTTCTCTTTTTTCCTCTCTGTAAAACTTTCAACTATAAAAAACATTAGTTTCTAAAGTTGACTACTAATAAGTGGTTATTGTAAGAGGGAAATGTAAACTGATACATGATGGAATAATAAAGAACAACTAAAATCAGACTCTCACTTAAAGGCTATGTACTTGTGATTCTTGCAGTGGAAAAAAAAAAAAAAAACAATAGGATCTTGAGTGTTTTAGGTTTTCAAAAGTCAAACTTCGAAGGTCATATTGGTGGTTATCTATTTCTGGCTTTTGACCCCTAAAAATGAAGTTCATTGAGGCACATTAAAAAGCAAAAGTAGAGAAAAGGGGTCAAGACCATGCTGGGGAAACCCACAGAAACAGCTGACCTGAGCAAGTGGGAACCATGTACCCCAGACAGACAGCTGGGGAATTAGCATAGGACCAAACCAGGCCTCCTGGATGTGGGTGTCAGGAGGCCTGGGCAGTCTATGGGGCCTCTGGCAGTGGAACCAGTATTTATCCCTAGTGCATGAATGGACTTTGGAAGCCAATTTCCCCATGGTGGGATACTCTCTCAGCCTAGATATATGGGGGGAGGCCTAGGCCCTGCCCCAAATGATGTGACAGACTTTGATGATTCCCCCATACAATGCCTAACACTTCCTGGGGAGTGGATGGGGGGTGAGACCACGAGTGGGAAGCATGGGACGGTGGGAGGGAGAGGG